TGCCATCATTTGCATAGCATTGTGCCTTCAGATGATTAATGATGAAAAATTGTCTTATTCTTCCTATTATGTTGCTTTTTCTAATTTGAAGCTGAAACCCCCACATTCCCGCTAGGATTTCTCCAGTTATTACTGTGGGTTTCTTCCAGATGAGGCATTTATTGTGCAGCTGCATTGCCAGAATTGTGGAACTTTACAGGCAAGCCAGGCATCAGTGCATTCCATTTGTAAGTCTCCCATGTTTTCCCAGCACTCCCATTCTTTTTTCTTTCCATAAAATTTCTATGAAGGAGGAAAAGATAGAAACTACATAGTGGTTAGTACTGGGGCCCCTTCCTCTGAAACAGACTGGGTTGCCTTCAAGCTGGTTTTGATACTAATTATGCGCTTCAGCTACAGTGGTCAGACTTTTTAAAAACCTTTTAAAAAAGATTTAATAGGAAAAGCCTGTCATACTTGAATATATGGAATTACTGCAAATATATAGCATGTTTCCTTTCAAAAGCTAATCTCTAGGAAACTAATCTTTTGGTAATCTCTTGGAGCTTCCTAATTTAGGTTAACACATTACTTTTGAAGAGCCACTGCTTCTGGAAATTTTCTGTGTGCTAGAAAGCTATAATCTGATGAACAGTCAGAAATGCCATATTACAAATATGCTTCATACCCACAGCTTAGTGCAGCCCCAGCCATTTGTCATTTTGCTACCTGAACGGAAGATGAAAATATTACCCAGACATACACACACAGTACAATTCATTCTACACAAGCCTCAGTCCTAAAGCCATACTCCTTTTTGTGCACCACGGTTCCCATTGCAAAATAATTGTGAAGAGGAACAGGGCGTTAGCAACCAGACAAAATGAAGCCAGGGAAAAGGAAAGGAAAGGCCTTTGTAAAATGTGAAGTCTAACTAGAAGCAGGATAAGGCCACTCTTGTAAAAGAAATATCTCCCCGCTTTTCCCATTTCTGTGGAAGCAAACTGGTACAAACTTACTTTCTTGGCTCCCTGAAGCTGTCTCCCTCTTCCCAGTTAAGGGAAATACGAAGATGTTAGGAGTAGCTTTCAAATTTAAGTTTTTAGACAAGAGGTGGTCTTCTTTCCGTTGTATACAACCCAGATCTCAGGAAAGTCACCTGTACCCTGTTTTATCATTCTCTTTTCTCTCCTTTTGTTTTGAACCATGTTTCTTTCATCCATAAATAGAAGAAAAATGGGGGAAAGGAATGAAAGGGGGAAAGGAGAAGGTGTGTATGCTCAAATCTATAGTGTATGCTGAGCTCAACTTGGCTCTTGGATAATGAGAGAGACGATCTGAACCTCACACATGCAAGAAAAGATATAAGAGGTAGAAATCTGCCTCTCTGCTAATCAAACCTTATATAGACCATGATCTTGGTCCTGGAAAAGGAATTTTATATATATGGTGCAAGAAATCTATTTTGGAAATGGAGGCAACCATTCTAAAAAGGCATAACTGTATTTTATACCCTGCAGACTCGAAAAAGCACAAGATGTGTTAATGTTCAGCTAGTGGCTCTGTGTTCTGCTAGAAGTTATGAAAGCACTGATAGAACATGGGCAACTATCACGAGCAATATATATGCACAATTTGCATGACATGAGGGTGGTTGACAAAACATGGCGGCTTGTTAACCACCAGTCACATGCCAGACTGATGTACATAATTACCTTGGAGGGGTGCAGCTTCTCGTATCAGGTGAAATCAACAAAGATGGCTTACTGGAGTGGTTAATAAACCAGCCAGAGCTCTTGGTTTGTTGTAGGATTGTTTAAATAACATGAGAAGCCATGCAAGAGTGCATGAATTGGCAAACTGGCATGTGTAGGCATCATAACCCAGCACAATTTAAATAAGCCACAGTGAGTTGTGGCAATAGTGCAGATTATGTGATAGTGTAATGAAGTCATAGTTGTGAAAGCATTGAAGCAATGGCTTAGACAAGCATGTGTGCAAGCGCAATCAAAGCACTTGTACAAGAATAAAAACTGGTGTCCAGAAGTGATGGAAACTTTGCTCCAGCAAAATACACAGTTGGATACAACCGTACTGTCATTAATGCAATGTGTCCAAACTCATAATCATTTATTATTAAATGCCCATGCTTATTTAAGGTAAAACCAAGAAAGGGAGAGGAAGAGGAAGAGAGACCAGTGCCTACCTGACACTTTGCTTCTTGAAGCAGAGTTCAAATTGTACCTCAGCATCCTGCTACAGTCAGGACCTTACAAAGTCCGACTGCACCATTCAAACACTAGTTCCTGTCTTCATATTTCCTCAGCTTCGGGGCATTGCCTGAAGTAGGTAGCTTTAATGGCACATGGCAAGGCCAGGCATGACCATCATATGGCCTTGCTCTCGGCTGGTCATTAAGAAAGATAACACAAGGAAAGGAAATTGAGAGGTAAGGGGATTCTATTCCACACACCTGGTTTGTACACTGCAGGATTGTTTGAGGGGTTTTCAGATGGCATGATAAGCTGTGCCAAGAAGGATAATTAGGCAAATGGTGTTGTTGAAGCCAAGGTGATTGTGCAAACCAGGTCAAGGAAAGGCAAGAGAACAAAGCTAGGAGCAGGAGCCCATCATGTTGTATTTGGAAAAGCAAACTAGAAAGGGCACAGCTAAGAAACAGTGTTTGAGAAAGCAGGAAATTAAAAAAAAAAGGAAAGGAGATAAATAGTAAATGAAGAGTTTGCAACCTATATTGAAACATGAAGAAAAATAACAGCAAACCCATGTAGAACACTATTGTAGCAATCAGTTCCAAAATAGTGTGATTGGATGACAATGATGATTATTAAAGTTAATGGTCAAGTACAGACACATATTAAAATTGTTACAAAAGAAAAGGCTTTGTTGCAGAGAGAAGCTGCAAGCAAAAATAAGTTCTGAAGATCCAGAGAGAAAGCTATGCATACCCTTTTCCCAACAGAGGCACATGGAAAAGGGACACTGAACTCTGCCTCTGCCCAATATTTTATTCCCTTTTCATCCACCCTGTTGAGTTTCTGTCTGCTTAGTTCACGTCAAGTGTCAGAAGACCAGCAGGAGATGTTGTGGGGAGGTAACCTGCAGGTACCAAGAAGACTGGAACACTCCCTGCCCTGCACGCTTCTGTTCAAATTCTGTTCCCATTTCCCACCTGACTACAGCAGATCTGGATCTGTCTCTATCGTGTGGACTCTGAGACTTAAGCCCAGATTTCCTACATTTGAGTCCAGTTCTTGACTCACTTGACCACCCTAAATTTCACTGACATGGGCCAGCCAAGAAGACTGCTCGTTTCTGTAGTTCCTAAATTCTTCCACAGAGTCTTTGCAATATTACTTGATGAAAGCTGAGGATATGTTAAGTCTTTTTCTTCAATTAAGTCTATACAGTGCAACAAAACTGCCATTGACTTAAACAGATACACAGTAGAGCCTGCTGTTATTTCAATTCAGCATTATTGCTGTGTATACAACAGTAAATAATAACATAGCAATTAAACACCCTACTGCAGCCATAACTGTAACTTTTGCAGCTTATAAAAAACAGCAACCAGTGTATACATCATATAAACCATGAGAAATACCAGATGGAAGAGAATTGCTTTAGATAAGAAAGTCAGGAAAACATAAAGGGCACAATCCAAGATTGCATGAGTGAAATGTTATAGAATTTCCCCTTCCTCTCTCCCCCCATGTCCCCCCAAATCTGCTGTAGAGGGATCCCCAAGCCTCTGGGCAGATCGGGAAGGTGAAGAAAGAAGAGGAATGATCTTCCTCCCTGATCCTTTGTGGAAGCTCTTCCATCAATAGAACAGAATAGTTGGATACAATCCAAAGCATTTTGAAATAGTCTCTCTGGGACAGAGATCTAAGTACACGTATATGCTTGTCGCACCTCTCGGAAATGAATGCAGAGATTTCTGTATGGACTGCAACAACAGTTGCCTGGAAAAGTTTATCAATATGACACACACATTATATTAATTTTACCCCCATGGTTGTTTAGCTTACATTTGTTTTTAATTCTGACCATCTTCCATTACATTACTTAAATACTTTCAGCCAACCCTGAATATAGTCTCCTGCTATGAACTCCACTGAAGTGATTTGGGTTCATGCCACTGAGTTATTTTTAGAATAACTTTGTGAAAGTGCTTAAACAAAGATTTTGTGGAATTTGAAGGCATTATAATATCCCAAGAAGGTTAATAAATACTAATGTGGTTCTGCTGTTCAAGTCTTGAGAGGTCGGCCAGGTGGAGCCTTCATACAGCTTGTCTGATATTCAAGTTGCCAACCAGACTTTAGAAAACCGCAACAGCTAGCCAGGTTTTGATTAATTATGTGAATGAACTCTCAGAAGGTTCTTTTTTTCTTTCCATAAAGCAAATCTTTCACCAGGTATGGCTCTTCCTGTCAGAGTAGTACAGTGAGTGCAAAGTTGTGTTTGGTCAGATTTTATCTTGCATTGTATTCTAAAAGGTACAAGATTCTTCTCAGGGCCTGAGGCAATAGATAGGCACAGTGCAGCCGAAATTAGGCATCTGTAAGCTCTGTGGATTTTAATGGGAGAATTAAGGTTGTGTCAAAACCTCTGCACTAAAATCAACAAAACATAAAACTGCATAGCTTGATTAATTGACACACTGACACAGACTCAGTCAACAGCAGTTAAGTCTCACCAAAATCAGTTGGACTAGTGAGGTCATCATTCAACTTTCATTGATTCATTGGGAACTAAATGAAAGTAACACAAAGTGGAATCCTATGCACACTTCTCTGAGAGTAAGCACCACTGAATGCATTTGATTTACTTCTGAGTAGACATGCATACAATTGTGCCATCAGTCTATTTTGTAAGGAGTATTTCTATGTTTCTGCTGTTCTGAGGTCTTCTGGTCATTTATAATTGACAACATTCTATACAGAAATACTATCTGATGTATGTTCTTCCTGAGACTATTCCAAACCAAGTGACTTTACCTGCTGGTGGCTTAATGAACGGTGGTGGAATTAATGGGACAATGATGGGAACATTTCCATGCTCCTTTGACCCTGCTGGTGAGTCAGAGAGTCCATTTCCTGTGGTGAGCCCTGGATAGCTTGTGTTTATACTGTATGATGAAATAACACTGTCTTCAGGTAATTTTGTTTTTGGCAAAGAATTTTCTGTAAAAGAAACACAATAAATTATAAAATATATTAGAACAGAGATGGTACTAGCCTATATATTTAAATAAACATATGGCTAGAAACCTCCTTGGACTAAGACTAGTTGTATAAGAAATTTATCACACACCCATACTGCACTTCAATATGACATTAGAAACTTACCCTGCCATTCTACATAATGTACCCATCAAAGTTTTGGAATACAACTAAAAAGACCTGGATTCTATTTCCCAGGAAGATAACTGTGTGACTTTGGGCCAGTCACTGACTCTCAGCAGCCCTACCTCACAGGGTTGCTGTGAGGATAAAATAGAGGAGCTGGAGGAGGCCAATCATGTAAACCACTGCGGGTTCTTTGCAAGAGGAAAAGCAGTAGGATATGAAAATAAAATAATACTGAATAAACTATAAAGAAATAAAATAAAATCATGCTGAATAAAATGAAAATAAATAAAATAAGCCAGATAAATAGTTGGGCTACCTAAAGTGGCAGGGATGGAAAGAGCAATAATAACGACTGTGGCCATAACCCCCAAGCACAGGCAATCAGTCAAATGAACAATTGCACAGAACTTGCCCATTGGAACTTTGCAAGTAAGGTGGAAAAATTTGCCCAGCTGTAATGCACTACATCTGCCCAGCAGTACTGTTTTATCTGATTCTCCATTTCTAGAAATTACGATAGATTAGCAAGAAAACAACAATGTGTGGAGCCACATTCCAGCTGGCTGTACACAGCAAAGGGTATACAGGAAAGATAGGCTGAAAGTCCAGATCCTACCAAGGTTGTGCCTTCTGTCACTGATGTATTGTGATATGATAGACTTAAATGGGTGATGAAAGTTAAAGGGGGATGAGGGGCTTGATAGATTTGAACTTAATACTCAATTGTTTACTGCAGGCATCTATTAAACTTTTAAACGACCAATTATTCTCATTATCAAATAAAACTGCAAGAAAGGGTTTCACAGAGAAAAGGCTGCATAGGGCAGTGCAGGCAGAGGGGAAATATTGTGCTTGCTTTTTATCCTGGATTTTTACACCAATTGGTAGCCATTTGAATTACAGCTTTATGACAGCTGATTATCTGAGGTAGAAATATGGCTCTTGAAAATTTATATATGCATAATAGTTATTGTTTTGTTCGGTACTGCTCTTCAGGACTTTATCTGCCAGAAATCATAGCTGTGGATACATTTGAGGTCACCTTTAAAACAGTGACAGGATAAACAAAAATTACAACATAAGCAAATTCTGGCAAGTGGTTACAGTTAATCCTGCTTTGCATGAACAAAGGAACATTAAATGTCATTACCTTTGAGAACAGAAATGTGCTGTCGGCTCTCCCCATCTGCAGGGTAGTTCCTGAATTCAATATCTTCTCCATCTTTTAATTCAACCTTATCATAACCATACCAGCCAAGGAGCTCATTCATGGTGTTTTCTGCAAAGTTCTGAAAGAGAAGAATTGCCTACTTATTTATGCAATCAATAATCATTTGGAACTAAGAGATGAATGCATAAATCGAAGTCTGTTTGCACCGTACCGTGAAATAGCAGGTTTGTCCCACCTCCTCTAGACTAATGTTCATTTATCAAGTCACGTACATAGAATGTAATGCATTTAAATCTTTGAATGACACATGTAATTATGACAGACCTTCATGAATTTGCAATTTAAAGAAAAATATGAGGGGGAAGAGAGCTATTTATCATTTCTTGTACATGAATTGATAGTCAGTGATATATTTAGCACATTTTTTTACAAAACTTTATATCCTATGCTAACACAAAGTGTTTGAAAGCCCATCAAGAAAGCAACAGAAGAACTAAGACAGTTTCTCAAGCACTGGTTAAGTGATCTCATAACATTACAGCTGTTCAAGTCAGTACAGACTACTAAAACATGATAGAAGTGTAGTCTAATACCATCACAACACAGATATGTTATAGAAAACATTTAAAGAAACTCACTATATGTATTATTTCCTACACTCCATTCATACATCCAATTTCCTGATAGTTCTTAACCATTACAGTAGTACCAAGTAAGAAGCATGAGAATTGGCACAAACTCTGTTGACTGGTTTATCAGTATGTTGAACCAACCTGCCCAATGTGCCTTGAGAAAAAGAGAGAAAGGATGATGTATATATTCTTTAGAGATCCCTTCACACTCCAGTCCTACAAGTATGAGGATCACATGCGGGTTAAAAAGTTAATGGCGATGAGGGTGTGCACACAAACTTTGCTCTCAGGGTCATTATCCCTATCAGCTTTATCCCGAATCTTCTTATGTTAAGCCAGAAGGTCTGAAGGAGGCTTCTGCTCACATTTGTTTGAACACAAGTGGAAGCATCCCCAGGGAATGCTTTACCAGGAGCACACTGTCCCCTCAGCCTGCATGACAGAAAGAGGAACTCCTCTTCCAGAAAGGCAAACACAGACGGATGGTTCATGGAACCATCTATATCCAATTATTGTAACCTGCCAAGCTTACACCAATTGTTTCATAGCTAATCACATCCTTGTTCTTAACAGGCCATTTATTTAAGATGACAACAGCAGACCTGAAAGACATAAAGTTCTGGATGTCCCAGAATAGCAGTGCAAAGGACCTGGGGAAAAGGTAGGAAAATTTAAAGGAAAAATGGGTTTCACCAGTTTTTCCTTTTCTTCCTTTCTTTACCTTGTTTGTTTGACTTTTGGAAAACCTGAATAGTTTTGTATTATGAAATATTTACTTTCAGAAAGATGAATAAAATGTTTCAGACATGGTGTTCACATGTTGCTTTATTCCCCCAAAATGGGTTTTAGAAAAGAAAGGCCCTTACAGGACAACTAAACATGTAAAGTTGCTTAATATTTTGAACTCTTGGGGAGAAAGGTTCAGAATATTCAGATTCCCAGAATACCTCTTTCTTTAATTTCTATTAAAATTATTCATCTAAGGAATCTTTCACCATTATAAATTTAAAAATATTCCTACTTAGGCTCACTTTTCCCAAGCTGTGACTAGAGTTATTATATCATAATTTGAGAAGCAAATGTTCACTCTTGAAAAATTGGATTTTATTCCACAAAATCCTGTGGATCCTATGCTGTAGGCATGGGACTACTTCATGATGAAACAGTACACAAAAATAAGATGTTCACTAAAGAGAATTATAGAATAGGGAATAACATAGGATTGTTCAAATAGTAGGCTTG